CCCACAAACTTAGTTTTGAGAACAGGGTGAAAAATGTTTCTACCTTGAGGAAACAGTAAATACTAAGATCAGATTTTCATTTATCTGAATACACCCTTCTCATTTGTAGACTGATTTTCTGTGTTGCCATACACCAAATTTAACTCATTAGTCTTATTGATGTTTTTTTAATTTTATTTTACATTGAAAACTGAACTGAGTGTTTTTTTCAATCTCTCAACCAATCAGTATTCTTTACCAAACTGCTGTAGTTTGTCCAATAGAAGTGCGCAGGATACATGGTTTGGAAATGGAATGCTGTATGAAACAGAGTCCTTCTTCATAGAAGAGGAGACCATGGGACAAAATTATCTGCAGAGCACATTGGAATCTGCAAACTAAGAGTGAGAAGGCTACAATGGATGGATATATGGATTGTGATAAGAGTTGTATGACCCCCCAATAAACTGATTTAAAAAAAAAAAAAAGAAGAAAAGAAATGTCTAGGAAATAATGATGGTGACATATATACAAATGTTCTTGATACAATTGATGTATGGGTACAAGAACTGTAAGAGCCCTCAATATTTTTTTTTAAATAGTGAGGAGACTTAAGAGATTATCACATTCCAATAGAGAGTAAGTCAGGTGTAGCGGTGAATAAAGAAAACATAAATAGCAATTAATTAATTTCAAATTTTAATGAAGGGAATCCCTGAAGCCAGAGGCCTCAGGAAAATCAGCCAAGTTTAAAAGACAAAATGAAAATTATTTTTGATACCTAAGTAGTATCATAAAGAGCAAACATGTCATTATCCAAAACAGTTGACTAGGACTAGAATTCAGATTAGGAGCACCTGGAAGAAACACGTGGTTAATATCTTTTAGGGAGAATCCAAACTGCATCATATTTGAGAATCACATGTTGTTTTGTATATGTATCATCCATTTTGACTAAAGATGACCCTTTACTAGAGACTGCAACTGCCCCCATAGGGTTCTCTAAACTGTAATATTTTTGGACACAGAATGTCAGTTTAATGGTGCAAGGGACAAGCTGGTGGGTGGTAACTGCTCACCTTTCAAAGAGCATCCATGAGCTTGAACTTTGTGTCACCAGGGATTACTTCATCATCACTTACAAATATGTAGAGAAACACCGTTTACAACAGCTTTTAATTGACATGTATAAGGTTTAACTGTAAGCAAGGGTTTTTTCCATCTCAAACCTATCATCCACCTAATCTGGGCTGAGAAGCAGAAACCTCTGTTAACAGTTTCTGAGCTGCGAGCAGGAAATAAAGGGAACATGCTTTCTGTGACATTCATAAAGATGACTTAGTTTCATTTCTCTTTTTTTTAGTACTGATACACCTGTCTTAAATTTATATTCATGCTTATGCAAAATGAACCACGTAATAGATTTTAACAGGTGAAAAATGTTTCGTTTATCATACTATCAATTATTAAAGTGTTTATTAAGAGAACATGTGTTCACATTCTATTCAAAAAGAGTTGTTGGTCCTAGTTTGAATAATACAAAAACAAAATTACGTTTGCATTTTCAGACTCAAAATCCAACATTCATTATAAAATGTATAATAAATAGAAAATGTAGACAAGAGTCTTTAATGACTTCAGGGTACATAATAAAATTCCCAGAAAAGGATAGAGGCATTGGTCTTAAACAGAATGGGAAGTTGTCTCACATGTGAATGTCAGTAGGTTGAGAAATACCCAACCCTATTTAATCTATAGAAGAAATATATCCCAAACATCTGTAAATATGGTAAGGGGGGGAAACAAAAACTAGGTTTTCTATATAAAAATCTATCAAGAGTGTGCCAGCCTAAGAATTGCCTGCAATTTTATCAAAGTACAGTGGACACAAAGGACCATGGAACCCATCGCCTATATTATGCAGAGACATCAAGCCCAAAGAAGAACCCCCACTTAAAATGA